ATCAACATCATGTTCATGTTGTTAATGAATATTGAAAACCAATCTATCTACATGTACAAACAATAGCAACAATAATATCAACAACATGTACATGTTGTTGATATTATTGTTGCTATTGTTTGTACATGTAGATTGATTGGTTTTCAATATTCAATTCCTTCATAATGGTCATATTCCTTAATGGTTAGATGTAAAAAAGCAAACCCATGGAGAGATTCTGAGGCATAAAATCATCATCATTTACAAGTTAATGCTGATGCAGCATAGCATTGTGCCAGACCCTCTCACCATCTACCACAATGACTATAAGTGTTTAAAAGCGAGAATATATAGACCTTTTCACGATACGCAACTGGTGGAATGTTAATGAGATGTAAATTGTATTCACAATAGGGTGCGGTCAGATTACACCCACTGGGGGGAAAGATTATAGCTGTGCCTATGGTGGAGATGCCTAAAAGCTGCTGTTTAGTTAAATGCAATGACTGGTTGAGCAAAAACAGAGAATTAAAAGTCTTTAGATCCCTTCTAAAGGATGGGGAATGCTGCAAAAGTTGGACAACAGCTGCAAGATGTTGCAAATCTGCTATACTGTTGCTAGAACCTTCACTGAGACTTATAAACTGAAGGAAAAGGCTTGGAATATAGTCTGGATGAGTTGAGACACTGTCAGGTTCTCCTGCAGATTGATTAAATAAGTGAGTACTTGGACTACATGTAAAATTGTCTTACCAGTAATACTGGTTAAACTCCAGTAATGCTCATTACAAATGCTCATCATTTATCATGGAGCTCTTCTTGGCTGCAGTGCTCTCGTCTCACAGCTGCTGTCTATCTTTTACAGCATTCCTTATCATTTAGAGGGATCTAAAGACCTTTAATCCCTTTTTTTGCCCAACCAGTCATTGCATTTAACTAAACAGCAGCTTTTAGGCATCTCCACCATAGACACAGCTATAATCTTTCCCCCCAGTGGGTGTAACCCGCCCGCACCCTATCGTGAATACAATTTACATCTCATTAACATTCTACCAGTCGCGTATCGTGAAAAGGTCTATATTATAGTAAATTATGAAATAAAATTAGTTTGAATCCCCTTTATGTCAGCAAAAGGCAGAAGTACAGCACTATCAAACGGCCATAGCACCACCCATTTTTCTAACCCTAACTACACTAGTATGTATACACACTCTTGAGCATAAATATAATACGTTGATAGTGCCAGCATTAACAGATAGACTAACCCTGTTCAGCTGTTCATGCTGAGGCTCTTTAATCAGCCATCTTTGCACTTGCCTCCAGTCTCCACAAGCTGTCTACATGTATTTAATACCACCACAATCACAAACAACTCATTACTAAAACTCAAATCAATGAAATCATCATACCTCACTTCATAGTCTCTTCTCAAAATTATAAATCCTTATTTGCACTTTCCACAGACCACACCCACAATTATGCCATTTGTGACAAAAAACAGCAGACTTTTTCTCTTCTATCACTTTAAACACAATTATTAAAAAATAACATGTTAAAACAACATACACATGAGAAATTAACTAATATCTAACTAAACATTGAGCACTG